TCCGTATTCGGTGTTTTATTGGCACGAGAGCGTCATCCAGTCGCTGACAGTTAACACAAAGGCAGACCACCCTACAAGTTGCTAACCATTAAAATACACCGATGAGAAATCTGAGTGTCTTCATAGTTCGTTGTGGTAATCCTAGGGCTGTTGGCTAAACATATGGCGAGACCAGGAGGGCCACGTTACGGGGAGTACACGCAGGGAGCGACGGGGGGGTGGAGGTGGGGTGAGTAGGGGTGGGCGTGGGGGAGCTGTGATGTTATTTTTAAACTAACGTCAAATACGTCAGAGAGGGACACGAGAGAGAGAGAAGCAGGAGAGAGAAGAGACGAGAGCGCGACGACCGAACAAAACAGAGAGGGGATGAGGAGAGAGCGAGAGAGAGAGAGAGAGAGAGGAGAAGAGAGGAGAGAGAGAGAGAGAGAGAGAGAGCGCGCCGAGGAGACGAGAGAGACAGAGACAGGACGAGAGAGAGACATGACAGAGCGGAGATAAATAGTATTAGAGACAGAGAGAGAGAGAGAGAGAGAGAGAGAGAGAGAGGCGAGAGAGAGAGAGAGACGAGAGAGAGAGAGAGAGAGAGAGAGAGAAGAGTGAGAGACGGAGAGAGAGAGACGAGACAGACACACAACACCATAAACGACATAAGTCTTGTTGATATTCTCATATTCGTGCCTATGAGCGTTGAATAGATGCGCGCGTGAGCTGTAAAGGATGGGTACATACAAGCATGGAGCAGACTCCTCACCTCACTGCCCATGCCATCTATTTACTCTGTCATAGTGCTGTGCAGGTCTATAACCCCTCTTCGTGTTTTAACTGCACCGTCTTGCGCACAAATTATGTTAGACTGTGGTTCGCGCAGGGCGATGAGTGACAGATACTACTTTTCGGGGTAATTTGCACACAGGCGGTTAATACCACTCTTCGCGCAGAGCGTCACATACGACACAAATACCATCGGTGCTTGTGGTGTTTCTGTGAAAACCGTCATTTGCCTACTTTTCTAGAAAAATAGCCGGTTCGCACCGCACGCACAGCACGCACGCACGCAAGCAGGCAGGCAGGCAGGTAAGTACGGCAGGCACCACAGCTAGACCAGGTACGGTAGGTAGGTAGGCAGGCACACACGTAGACAGGTAGGTAGGTAGGTAAGTAGCAGGCGCTACGTATGCACCACCGCGCAGGCCAGAAGTAGTAGGTGGAGGCACGACGCACGCAGACAGGTAGCACGGGCACGCACCGCGACGCGCACAATGCACGACACATTCCATCAGGTAAATATCAATTAGCAGCGACTGCAGCTGACAGACGCGAGATATTAATTTATAAGTTGCTCCGCGGGCGCAACCTGTATCTGGTCCAAGACATCACTTAACGATTACTTTTTGCGTGACCTTGCTTAGACACAAATGAATGTCATCAGACATTGTCGCGACTGTTACCGCCCCCCATGTCTCTCACATAACCACTACACACACACACGACACACCACACACACACACACACACACACAACACACACACACACACACACCAGCACACACACCACACACAGACACACAGCGACCACGCGCACGACATAGACATTCAGGACTGTGACCGCCCCGATGTCTGCTCACATTTTACACACAGCACGCACGCGCGCGCAGCGGCCGCACAACACACACACACAACCACACACAGCGCGCGCACACAGCACACACACACACACAAGCACACACACACGCCGCGCGCGCGCCACACACACATACACCACACATACACACACAACACACATTCACAACACAGCACACCACAACATCAGACATGTCAGGACTGTTTACGCACCCCATGTACTCTCACATACATACACCACACACACACACACACACACACACACACACACGCGCACACACACGGACACACCACTACACACACACACACACACACACAACACATACACACACACGCACCACATCAGACATGTCAGCACTGTTACGCGCCCCCAATGTCTCTCTCATGACATCACGCACACACACACACACACACGCACAACACACGCCCACACGGCACACACAAGCACACCACACACACACACACTGCACGCACATCAGAACATGTCAGGACTGTTACCGCCCCCCATGTCTCTCACATCACACCACACGCACGCACGCGCGCGGCCGCGCACACACACACACAACAGCACACACACACACACACACACACACACACACACACACACACAAATATATAATAAATATGTCTTGGCCAGACAGTATGTGGTGTTATATAACTATATATATATATATATATATATATATATATACATTCATATATATATATATATATAATAGTATGGGTATATGCGCAAAAGTAATTCTTGTCCTTCTCCTAAACTCGCGACCCTAACCCCAACCCCACACCCAACCCTAAGACTAGCTGCCTCGTCTGTTATATACTCTCTCACTGTGGTCTGCTTGCCTTCGCAGTGTCACCAAACCACGCTGGCCGCGGTCACCTCGGCATGACGATGTGTCACCACTGACCAGGTGTAGTCCCGCTGCAAGGCCTTTGGTCTGGAGCTCAGTTCTCACCTCGTATTGACCTCACCTACTGCCCGCCTACGACTGCCACCGGAGGGCGCTGGACGAGCCGCCAGGCATGGTCATCGCGCCGGCCGTCGGCTTGCGCGCCATTCATATTGGTGAGTATAGTGGTAAGCGCCACCTGGTGTCAGCAGCGAGAGTCAGCCATTTGGTCGGGAACACGTTGAGAAATGTAAATCCGCAATGTAAATCTTGCTAGAATGTTAAATTGCTAAAATGTAACTCATAGAATGTAAATCCTGATTGTAACTATTAAAATGTAGCTCTTAAGAATGGATATCTGAATGTAACTCCTACGAATTGTAAATAATGTAGAAATCCTGATGTAAGCTCCTAGAATGTAAATAATGTATAATCCTGAAATGTAACTCCTAGAATGTAAATACATGCCTGGATGAACTCCTAATGCAAATTTAATCTGATGTAACTCCTAGAATGTAAAATAATGTAAATCCTTGATGTAACTCCTAGAATGCTAAAATAATGTAAATCCTGAATGTTAACTCCTAGAATGTAAATAATCGTAAATCCTGAATGTAACTCCCTAGATGTAAATAAATGTAAATCTGAATGTAACTCCCTAGAATGTAAATAAATGTTAAATCCTGAAATGTAACTCCTAGAATGTAAATAATGTAAATCCTGAAGTGAACATCCTAGAATTAATTAATCCGAATGTCTAAGATGAAATCTAATGTATATAAAATGTCACACTCTTAGACATGTAAATCCTGAATGTAACTCCTAGAAGTGTAAATCCCTGATGTAACTATTAAAATTGTAACCTTAGAAGTAAATCCTGAATGTAACTCCTAGATATGTAAATAATGTAAATCCTGAATGTAACTCCTAGATATGTAATATAATGTAAATCCTGAATGTAACTCCCTAGAATGATAATAATGTAAATCTGAATGTAATTCCTAGAATGTAAATAATGTAAATCCTGAATGTAACTCCTAGAATGTAAATAGAAAATCCTGAATGTAAACTCCTAGAATTTAAATAATGTAATCCCTAAATGTAACTCATAAGAATGTAAATCCTGAATGTAACTATTAAAATGTAACTCTTAGAATGTAAATTCTGAATTGTAACTCCTAGAATGTAAAAATAATGTAAATCCTGAAGTAACTCCTAGAATGTAAATAATGTAAATCCTGAATGTAACTCATAGAAATGTAAATCCTGAATGTAACTATTAAAATGTAACTTCTTAGAATGTAAATCCTGAATGTAAACTCCTAGAGATGTAATCCTGAATGTAACTATTAAAATGTAACTCTTAGAATGTAAATCCTGAACTGTAACTCCTAGAATGTAAATCCTGAAGTAACTATAAAATGTAACTCTTAGAATCGTAAATCCTGAATGTAACTCCTAGAATGTAAATAATGTAAATCCTGAATGTAACTCCTTAGAATGTAAATAATGTAAATCCTGAATGTAACTCCTAGAATGTAAATAATGTAAAATCCTGAATGTAACTCCATTAGAATGTAAATAATGTAATCCTGAATGTAACTCCAGAATGTAAATAATGTAAATCCTGAATGTACTCCTAAGAATGTGAATAATGTAAATCCTGAATGTAACTCCTAGAATTAAATAATGTAAATCCTGAATGAACTCCTAGAATGTAAATAATGTAAATCCTGAATGTAACTCCTAGAATGTAAATATGTAAAGCCTGGATGTAACTCCTTAGAATGTAAATCAGGCTATAGTTTCACCTCCGTATGAGATGACGATTAGATAGAATAGGTTTAATTTAGGTTTACATTGTAACATGTGATCTGCGCATGCGCGTTTGCGTAGCTGAAAAACACCGTAACGGATTTTGACCGCTTGATTTATATCCTTCTTTCGTTTTCGCCTTCTCCCACTCTCTCCCTCTTTCCACTCTTTTTTTCTCTCTCTCTGTCTCTCTTCATGTTCGCTCTCTTGTCTCTTTTTGTGTACCAACCACTCTCTCTCTCTCTCTCTCTCTCTCTCCTCTCTCTCTCTCTCTCTCTCTCTCTCTCTCTCTCTCTCTCTCTCTCTCTCTCTCTCGCTCTCTCTCTCTCTCTCCTCGCTCTCCTCTCTCTCCTCTCTTCTCTCTCTCTCTCTCTCTCTCGCTCTCTCTCTCTCTCTCTCTCTCTCGTATATATATATATATATAATATATATATATATATAATTATATACATATAAATATTTAATATATATATATTTCCCTGCTGTGAACTGCCGCGAATTAATTTTGCGTTTCTACTTTCCTCCCTTCCTGCCCTCTGCCGATCCTTCCCTCCTCCTCTCCCTCTTTCTCTCGTTCACCCTTTCTCACTCTTTAACTTCACCTCCTCTCCGTTATCCCTCCTTCACTCTTTCTCTCTCTCTCTCCCTACAGGTTCCGCTCACTGGCGTGGCATCAAACCCGGCCAGTCGTGTCGTTCGGCCCAGCTTTCGTAATGAGTTCGTGGAAAAACCACTGGGTGAGCTCTAAACCACTGTCACGCAAGCTGACTACCCAATTAACGAATCTCGTACATCTTTAAACTTGCTTAGTTTACTTTGAGTACAATAAGCAGCTCACGGGTACGGCTTACGAGAGGTGGGGGTAGTAGGCTGCCACACTGCGTAAACGAGATCAGTGTTGCGTAACGTTACAGCGGTGGAATAAGTCTGTGGAGATAAGACTAATGATTACTAATGTTCGCTTACCGTACGGATATATTATGTAGCTGAGATTCTGCTCACGTGCCATTAATGCTGATACGGTCTATGTCCCCCAGGGTACTGCCGAACTACCCTGAGTACGGTCCGCGTATAGCGGAACGTACCTGGTAACTATCTAGCTGATATGGTTAGGGTTAGTGTTACGGTTAGGTTTAGGGTTAGAGTTAGGGTTAGGGTTAAGGTTATGGTTAGGGTTAGGGAGTAGGCGTAGGCGACTCCCTAGACTCGCGTTAGTGGAGTAGGCGAGGTACGGTCCAGCATATTAGATAGTAGTATTAGTACCAGGGGTATGTTCCGGTATACCGGACCGTACCCAGGTACGTTCCGGCAGTACCCAGGGGACATAGACCCTATCAGCGCCATTAATAATGCTTAGCTGGGAACGGTTTGACGTTTCCTGGTGGATTTATGCGGATCGGTCGTTTCACATTGTTGTTCGCGCCGATTGTCCGTGTGCGTTTGACACACACGCGCGCTGCTCCTCTCTCTCTCCACACACACACACACGCACACGGCACACACGCGCGCACATACACACACACGCACGTGCGGGCACACACATACCTAGTACCTACACAAACACACACAGACACACACACACGTGCGCGCGCTCAAAACACACATCACACGGATGACACACACACACACACACACACACACACACACACACACACACACACCCACGCGGCCCCCACTCTTCTCACCACTCCGCTACTGCTGTGTCTTCAGGTTTACTGGGCAGGACCTATGGGCGGAGCCTTTCTTGCTGGCCTCGTATACGAGCTGCTGTTCGATCCAAAGAGGAACTTCAAGAACACCGATGACTTGCTGAAGGAGTCAGACAGAGGTAAACGCGAGATAACTAGGACATTATTCAATCACAACTTCAATTGTTTCACATCTCATTATTCAAGCAGGAAGGGCACTGCCCTCTGGCGGGGTTCGCCGATGTGTTTTGCATACTAGTTAGCAGAGCGCGATGGACACGTAGCGCCCTCTAGTGGTCTCACCTACTAAACGTCATGTAAGGCCGCGCGACACACAAGATGGCGCGCCGCGTGTGCTACAGCTGGCTCCCTCTAGTGGTCTCACCAATCATCACGATAACTTTGCGCGCGCGTTCTCGGTCGCCGCGCACACTAACGCCCTCTAGCATGAGCGCACACTAACGCCCTCTAGCATGAGCGCACACTAACGCCCTCTAGCATGAGCGCACACTAACGCCCTCTAGCATGAGCGCACACTAACGCCCTCTAGCATGAGCGCACACTAACGCCCTCTAGCATGAGCGCACCTGCTAACGCTTCTAAACTCTTCAACGCTTTCTTTTCCTTTTCTCTAAATTTCTCTTTTTGACGCCTCCACTCTGACGCTTTCTCTTTTTCTCTTCATCTTTTTTTTTGACGCAACTCTCGCTGCAATTCTCTCTGACGCCATTTCTTCTCGATCTTTACAGACGCACTGGCGGCGGCGGCGGCGAAGAACGTGAACTACATGCGGCGCAGTCACAGCGCTCAGTCACACGCCACCGTCAGCACGCTCATGCAGCCGGCGTCTGCCACGAGCACGATGCAGCGTCTGCGCACGTTCGAGCGCTACGGACGCGACAACATCGCCTACGACGCCGCCAGCGTCTGCCCGAGCAACATCGAACTCGCCGAGGCGATGACGCCGCGTGGCGGCGCCACCGGCGACCTCGCCGCGGACGAGGACAGCCGCAGCGGTTGCCATAGCAGCGCGTATTCGAGCTCGAGCGGCGTCTGCGTGTAGCGCCACCTGCCGGCCGCCGCGGGAGTTAGTGCGGCGACGTCGATGTCCCGGGGCGAGCGGCGTTTGCGTGTGGCGCCACCTGTAGGCTACTGCGCGAGTTGCCGCGATGACGTCGATGCGTGGGCAAGCGGCGTCTACGTGTAGCGCCACCTGTGTGCCGCATCGTGAACTAACAGTTGCGTATTTGCTGAGAATAATATGTATACTCATACGCTCATCAGCGTCCAACCTAGCTAGGAAGACATTTACCTGTGCCGCAAGCTTTCCCAGCTGTAGGCATTAATGTCGATCTGTGTTTACCCGAGGTAGCTTTGCCAGTGCACGGTCTCAACCTGACCCAACGGGGCAGTGTACACAGATTTCCAGTGTCCGTGTATGTTGGCTATATGCTGCCATGCTACCTGCTTAGCATATCTGTGAATATTACATCGAGCAAGGCAGGGAATTGCAGGCCTGCGGAAATGTATAATAAGAATGAGTGCATTTTACCTGAATTTATATTTAATTGAATTTTATTTCGGCTTGTGAAGACGCGTGAGTGGTTTTATTAAAGTTAGCCGTTGCCTAAATATTTGATGTTTAATATGTTATAAATATTAAAGGTTAAATATAGTCAATATTTCCTTCACGTAATAGTTACAGTCGTGTTACACATAACCTATATTGTAATTATATAACAGTTATATAATAGTTACAGTCGTGTTACACATAACCTATATTGTAATTATATAACAGTTATATTACCGGAATAAAATTTCCAGTATTGTAAATATAAATGCCGAAATCTGCTGTTCTTGCCTATCATGTGTTATTACGCGTTCTAAATTACTCTGCGTGACCTTCAGCTCCCGATGGACTAACAATCGCAATTATCCCTAAAAACCATCCGCGTGTTTTTTTCCTCCTCCGTGCAATGCCGATTGACAGACGTGAATAGTGGAGTAACAGAGTAAGTGCTCGTAACAACATGATGGCAGTGTAAATACTAGTGGACACGTAAACACATGCGTTACAACATGCCGCGTCCTTCGTCATCACCTGACAACGCTGTCAGCCAATCAGCGCGCGCGTGCACGGTTTACGCGGGACCCGGTATGTGGCAGGCGCCCGCGCGCGATTCGTGTTCATCAAACCATAGATATACACACACACACACATGCACACACGCGCGCGCGCACACACACACACACACACACACACACACACACACACACACACAC